CTCTCCATTCCCCTGTCCCTCCATTCCCCAGTCCCTCCATTCCCCAGTCCCTCCATTCCAGTCTCTCCATTCCCCAGTCCCTCCATTCCCCAGTCCCTCCATTCCCCAGTCCCTCCATTCCCCAGTCCCTCCATTCCCCAGTCCCTCCATTCCCCAGTCCCTCCATTCCAGTCTCTCCATTCCCCAGTCCCTCCATTCCCCAGTCCCTCCTCTCCTCCATTCCCTATCCCCGTCCTCCAGCCGGGCTGCAGTACTCACCGCCCACCGCTAGGCCGCGCCATCCCCGCGGTTGCTATGGCGACGGCGGCGTTGCCCTCTGCGCATGTGCGGCCGTGTGGGTACTTCCGGCGGSTCCTTGAGGCGGCGGGCCCGCCATGGAGCGGTTCGGGCCCGGGCCCGTCAGCGCCGTGCCGGTGGCCGAGTTCAGGCCGTGAGTAGTGGCGCGGGCAGGGGGAGGGCCCGGCGGCGGGGCGCGGGGAAGGCTGTGCGCTAGGCCCTGCTGCGCGGGGAGCGCGCCCGGCACCGCCAGCCCGCGGTGGGGCTGCACCACGGGGCACCCGGGAAGAGCGGCGGCGGGGCGGGAGGGGAGCGGCAGCTCGGGGCAGAAGGAGCCGCAGCAGGTGGAGGAGGAGGCCCCAGGTTTGCCTTGGTCACGCTGCGGAACCCTGGGCCACCCCAGCCCCGAGYGTGGAGGCTGCCGGCCCGCAGGGAGACGCGTCGAGCTAGGCTGAGCTTATACACGAATGTTTGTTTTTGCTGCGTAGGGAAGCGATGAGAGTATGTCAGTGTAAGAAAAGTATTTGTCAGCAGTGGAGTTTTTAACTTTGGTAATAAGCTGGAGGTCATCTTACTCTTCTATGGGTAAGTGTCGATAGAATGGTTTCTAATTTCCGTAGGGAAATTTTGAATGCAATTATGCCCTCCACCCTGACAGTCCTTGAGGCAAACAGCGGTAAAGSAAAAGATTTCGAATGTCTTTCTTTTTTAAAGCTACTTTATGCGCTGCCTAAATGTATGGCAGTACATGATCAACRAAGTGTTGCTGGTAGAAGCTTGTGTGTGGCTGCACGTGACTGTCAGTGGATGGGCTGATGGTTTTTTCCCATTTCCACTTTATTTTTTTCAAAGAAAAACTCACATATTTTTGTTTAAACGCCCTAAGGACGCATGTCCTTGAACCAGGCAATCTTTGAAAGTCAGAAGGGTATTGCCTGGCTTACCTGTTTACTTCAGCATAAAATAGGAGTCAGCCAGGCAGAGTGAGTGAGAACTGGTGGAAGCACACACAAAACCAAGCTGTATGKGATGTTTTGTAAACACAAAACCTGTTCTAGCAGATCAAGTTCAGGGAGACCTTACCGAGTACATAAACTTCATAAGCCCTCTCTTGCCAAAGGTCTTCTTAGGTTGGGATCTGKGAAGGCAAAGTTTTGGTGTATTGGCTCCATGTTCTGACTGCTACTATGCTTTTTCCAGCTTTCTTGGTTAAAAACTGAGCAATTATTTTTAAATAGAGGAACAATACCTAATAAAAAGGAASTTGGAGTAGTAAGCTGTTACATTCATTCAGTGTACTTCCCTTTCTATCCCAGCCTTAGAATGTGTCATTTTCCTGGACTTGTAGTTACTTAAAAATAAAAGGGAACTTGGCAAGTTTTCATGCAGAATACAGTCATATGACAAGTGCATGTGTAACTAATATTAGCTATTTAATAATTATGCAGTAATACAGTGATAAATATGTTAACATAACCCCTCTATGCTGACAATGCTTGGAAAACAATAGCAGGGAAGAACCTAAAGATTTTTAAATTTTTTTTTAGTGAGCTTAGACTGGCAGAATCATTACATTGTTTTGAATACAGTCATTTTTATTGCGGGCAACAGATATGTACTCCAAGTCTTTATTGCTTCCAAACAATACACTTACTTCATGAAAAGTAATTTTCTTCTGTTTGGAACAAGTTCTTGTCCTGTTTCAGGCATATGTATTGTGACTTTCTTTTGTGTGTAACTTCTCTTATTTATTTCAGAAATGAGGGTTCATTAACATCAACTTTAAGAACGCTTCTGTTCTTCACAGCTCTAATGATTACATTACCTGTTGGGCTATATTTTTCATCAAAGGCTTATGTATTTGAAGGTAATTCTGTTTCTGCCAATTGGCACTGTTATTACTAAAATAGAGGGAAAGCRTCCTCTATTAGCATCTTTGTTCTTCCTGTTTTAAATATTAGTTTCTGTATACAGACAAAAGGTCCTGTAATGTCTAATTAGAACAGAAAATTATATAAATGGTCCATGTCTCCTTCCCTGCATTGTGGTCTGCAATCCAGTATTTGCTGTTTGTTATATAGAGGTTTATATTGTATAGAGGTGCATTGTTCCCTTTATATAAAGGGTATTTAACACCACCCTGCAGCAAACTTTTGTCAGAATCGTCAGGGACCTATGTTTCCTGCAGGTATTGCAAACCAATCATGTGTTCAAGACAGAATAATRTTGTTTATGAGATTTATTTCTTGCTTTTTGAAACATGTATGCACTTGTAAGTGTAAACAAGTCATATGTATTTTCAAATATTAAATGTACTCCAGTCTACTTGCTTGTAGAGCTTTCTTTCAATTTAAAAAAAAGGAAGAGAGGTGTTGGCTCTTTGTTGGAATAAGCAACCATGTTGTAGTGCTGATTCTACAAGGCTTTCATACTTATCTCCTGCAGTTCTAGGAAGTTATCTCCCTTGGTTGTGGGGAGAAGGAAAGGAGAAAACAGCTGCTTTTAAGAGCAGTTTGTGTGTGTGYAACTGAGTTGTTCTGAGATGATTCTCCTTTGGTGTGTACTGCTGTGTGTAGTACATAGAAGGCTCAGAGYTTGTCAAGTAACTTTCAAGATCCTTTCTAGCTTTTTTATTTGAAGCATAGCAAGCTGAGCTTAAATTTTGCTGTGTCAGTTAATGACAAGATCTGTTGGCACTGAAAGGATTGAGTGTGTTTGCAGGGTGGTGTTTTTGGAGTTTGTGTGGGTTTTGTTTGCTTTTGGGGAGACTTTGTTGGTTTTTTAAAATTAATTAAGGGATACAATATTTCAGTGTTTGGTCTTCTGTTTGAAGGCTTCTTTTATATGTGATGCATTCACATATCTTAACTGGTGGACAATTATTGTTTTACAGTCTATWTACAGAAGGTAACAGTCCTCTAAATTTAATTGTTCTAGCATTTTCTCCTGTTTTAGTGGCAAATTAATTCTATAATTCTCCCCCTTCTTCCTCCCAYCTCCTCCTCCATTTTAATGCCCCACAAAGAGAGTTACACTTAGGAAAAAAGGATGTTGAGGTTTGTTTGGTGCTGGAAGATACTAACAGAAAAAGTGAATGTTGTAGAACTCTAAACTCTTGAAATCAAATCCAGGGTATTTTATCTTAAATATTGAACATTTCAGTGTTGCTTTGTTCCAGAAATAGTTTCAAAACCCTAACTACTGTGGTGAATTCTTTCTTATGACTCCTTTGGAGTTCAGACTTCTAATACAGGTGTAAACGTAACTTTGGTCTTTAGGAAGAATTGTGACTTGCCATGTCAGAGTTCCTAGCTCATAACTAATACTCTTTATTTTCTTTGTTTTCTCAGGTTCCTTGGGAATGTCTGACAGAGACAGCTATTTTTATGCTGCCATAGTTGCTGTAGTCACTGTCCATGTGGTGCTTGCTCTCTTTGTTTATGTAGCCTGGAACGAGGGTTCACGGCAGTGGCGTGAAGGCAAACAGGACTAGAATGAATGAAGATCATCSGTGTCTAATGTCCACAGACTGTAAATCAGTTTTTTTTGTGAGCTGAAGGAAAAGCATTCTTCCAAATGTGTAATACACATGTACAAAGAGGAGGCTGATGCCTCAGTTGTGGTTAAAATAAGACTTGTCCTCATCTTGGCTGTGTACTGGTGTTTTCTGTAATGGTGATGGAAGTTGTTGTTTAGCCAGCCTCTACTGTGTCAAGCTGAGGAGGCCTTCACCTGCAATTAGAGTGGAATGATTATATACTTTTGAAAAATCTTGTAGCTACTTTTGGCATTCCTGATATTTTTCTGGCTTGCTCTGAAAATAATGGCATGAAGCGAGCATTAAATTTTCAAGGAATTAAATTGCTAGTTTAAAAAGCTGCATTACTTACTATCCAGGTCCAGTGGAAAAGATGGAATTTCAGTTTGCTGTAGATAGTTTCCTGATTTTTGGATGTTGTGGTTTAACCCTAGCCAGCAACTGAGCACCATGCAGCTCTCACTCACTGACCCCTCAGTGGGATGAGTGGGGAATCAGGAAAGCAAAGTGAAAAAACTSATGGGTTTAGATAAAGACAGTTTAATAGGTAAAGCAAAAGCTGCACCTAAGTGTGTTGGTTTTCAGTGTAAATTCAAACCATAGTCCCATGGTAGAAAATTACCTCTATCCCAGCCTAAACCAGCAGTGTGGGACAGGCATAATGGTAATTATGAGTTTAAAAGTAATTTCAAAACCAGAATTGTTTAGAAACTCAGGTGATGTCTTTCTAATGTGAAATACAATTTTTTTTTTTGCTTTCAAATATATTTTTATTGCAGTGTGAAATTCAGTCTTTAATTTCCTTTTGGGAGGGCTGTGGTAAATATGCRTTGCTCGTCTGTCTCTTCTTCTACAGTTTATCCTGTTGATGCAAAGGAAAGGGCATAGCCTATTTTTTTGTGTGTCTTTACACAGGTATGTATGTACTTGGTATTTGCTTAAGTGTTCAGTTGAATTTCCTGTGGTGAAGGTAGGGGAAGGAGAAGGAGAAAATAAGCTGTAGTCATCTGCAAATGGTGTCCTTTGTGAAGCAGAGGGCACAAAAGTGACCACATGGAAAATAGGCTTCTCTTCATAAACACTTAYTTGTACACTGTGAAATAATACAATATGTTGATTGTTTTCTTTTTTCCTTGGTTGTGTGTAGAATTTCCTGTAGTCAAACATTAGTGAGATTTTTGTGGTGTAGGATAACCTGAATTTCATTCCACTGTGGTGCTGTTGCTAGCAAGCTTTTTAGTCCCTGGCTAAAACATTTTTCCTAAAGTTCYGACAAGGCATAAAACCTTCCTAACACCAATGATGGCTGTTAAGCTGTTGTGCTTGAGATCATTCTGTTAATTTGAATTTTCCAATTTATTGTATTAGTTCAGCCTTTCTTGGAAGTTTTTTGCTTAATAGAGGGCTTGTCATGGTGTTCAGTGCTGCATGTGTTCCTGGTTAAACTTACCTATAAATGAGGCAAAAATTGTTTATCTGTGCCCAGTGGCTTGAGAATTATGTCCCCAAGCCTCATTCCTGTCTTGTCCATCCCAGTCCCAGGTGTGCACAAGCATATGCACCATGGCACACTAATGCAAATCAGTTTTTACACTGTGTTTCTGCTGTGTTACCTTTTCTCATCCAGCCCCATTGTGAGGTTGCTGCTGGCAAACTGGAGAATCATCTCAGAGTACTTGAAGTGCAGAGTTAGTTTGTACATGGGCATATTGACTTCCTGTTCTCCAGTGTATGAAGTGTACGTTGTAGAACAATACTGCCTTTTAATAAAGAACTACCCCGCAATACAAGATCCGGTAAGCAATGTGTGCTGAACAGTTTCTGAATAATGTCTTTGATATTGCACATGTAGAGTACAGCTTAAAGCAAACACGTAGCCCTGCTCAGTAGCCTAGCTTTTTTTTTTTTTTTTACTCACAGTGGAGAATAAATGAAGAGAGTTACACTCACAAAATAAAAAATTTGAAGTTTATTTGGTACTAGAAGGCAGTGACGGAGAAAATGAATGTTATAGAAATATAAGACATTGACTACAAAGGGAACACACCTGCCAAACTCTATTAGCTGCATCCTGTGCTATGTCTATTTTATGTTTCATGTAGCAGAATCTGTAAACACTAAGTTAATTTCCTAGGAATAACAGGAAAATAATCCCTTATTATAGCTGTTTAGTTATAGAAATATGACAAGTTTGGCCTCTGCTGTATATGCAGGTAGTGTAGTGTCTCAGCAGTTGGGAGTAATGAGTTGAGCATTAATCCATCCATTGGAAGATCTTTGAAGATTTTGCTTTGTTCCACAACAACATTCCCAGTGAGAAAAGAGGCACTGCCTGAGTCTGCATAGCCAAGTCCTGGTTTCACCAGAAGTGGAGTGGAAGCAACCCCTCAGGTAAAGGGTGGAGTGAAAACAGTCCATGAAGGGTTGTCCCCTTGCAGCCCTTGTAGATCCATGGGGAGCATTCTCCTTCCTCCCTCCTAGCAGTGGGGACCCACACTGGAACAGTCTGTTCCTGAAGGACTGCGCCCTGTGGAAGGGACCCACACTGGAGCACCTTGTGAGGCACTCTGCTGAGGAGGAAGGAGGGCAGGAGCAATGTATGAAGAACTGACCACARCACCCATTCCCTGTCCCCATGTGCCAATGGGAAGGAGGTAGAAAACTTGGGAGTAAAATTGAACCTGGGAAGAAGGGAGTGCTGGGGGAAAGATATTTTATAGTTTTGTTCTATTTCTCATTACCTTACTCTGATTTGATGGGTAATAAATTTTCTGAAACCAGGTCTGTTTTGCCCCTGATAGTAATTGGTGAATGTGTTGTCTGTGCTTGTCTCAACCCCAGAGCCTTTCAATTTATTTTCCCTGTCCAGCTGAGAAAGGGGAATGCTAGAKTGATTTTGATGGCTCTGGGTGTCTAGGCAAGATCAACCTGCTGCATGTAAACTGATAAAAATTGTGGAAAGATCAGCATTTTTTTGTTTCAATTTTCTGTAGAATGGTGATGTAAAATTTGTAGCAGTGTAATACTCTAAAGTGGTACTGTAAGTTTGTTAACTTTACTACTAGGAATGGATTTGAGACAACTCTTCAAAAGACAGTTGGGAAAACTGTCTGCAAAAGTCATTCAGTACTTTACAGTTTCCTCTTACTTAATGGTCCATCGTGTTGGTATAGTTTGACAATTAGACAGTTTAGCTAAAGCAAGCAATTGTATCTCACAGTGAGCAAATATCGTGAGACAGATTGTACCAGAAATTTTCCAGAATGTTTTCCAAGACTGAATAGACAGTGGGGGAATTGAAAAGTGGAAAATCAGTGACTTTTCATTAGTTTTCATCTTTTGTACTTCTTACCATTTCTGGTTTTTTTCAAATGCCTGCAGGACATTGTGATGGTGGGTACCCAGCCTGTGAAAGTGTGCACGTGAGTCAGCAGCTTTGGTTTGTGCTTAGGAATGCCTGACTTAACTCATTATTAACTGGCAGCATTGAGTAAGAAATCTCCCGAGCAAATGGTAATGATAATGCTGTTAACAGGCATTATCATTGTTTAAGGCACATGAGCTTGAAACAGTCGTTATAGTACATTTAAAACAAAATAAACCACTGCCTACCTGTTTCTTGCATTGCAAGAGAGGGCCTAGTAATAACATTTTAAAAAAGCAAAATAAAGCTCCAGGAAAACAGCCAAACACAAAACAACAGCTCTAACCTCCAGAAGGCCCAAGATCCTGCATTATTTTCCCTCTCAGGCTGATGCCAGGCTGGAGGCTGTGGTTTTGTCACACTGCTAGAGCAGCACGGCAAACTAGAGGGCAGACTTTGCTACCTGATCACTCATGGGCACGGGGAAGGTRTGCTGCTCACCAAGAAATTATGTTCTCACTTAATGCATTGGTGAACACTAAAATGTTTGATGTTATTGTTAATGCAGTTTGGTGGGTTTTAGACTGCTGTAGCTCCTGTAGTTAAACGGTGCTGAGGCTTCTGACAGCCCTTGCTAATGGACCGGGTGTGCTGAGAGCCTCAGGCCAGRGTATGGTTGGCAATAGATCAGATGAGTAAGAGATGGGAAAGCAAGGGGCCCTTAAATAACCAATTGAGCCAGACATGTATTACAAAATATCATATTTTGGGTATAACAAATGTATGGGGCAGCCCATGGGGCAAAAGGAGAAAGGGGTCCTGTGAGCAAAGGAGTGACTTGAGGAAATGGGGTGAGGGCTGAAATGTGCTAGCATGGCTTATTATATGAGGGCTGAGGCACAATATGTTTTCTTTGGAAGTGTTTATTACACTGTTTTTCAAAGGATTGTGCAGAACCATCAGTCTGAAATACATTATATAAAGCATACAAAATAGTGAGCTAATTCCATTTTTAACTTCCAGCTTAAGTTTTTCATAGGTTGACAGCTTTCCTATCTGATAACTGGGACACATTTATTCACTTTGTCTTGTASAAATCAGCATTGTTACTGTCATCTCATAGGGCATGGTCAAGCCCTTGGAATGTAAATATTTCTTTAAAAATACCAGAGAGCAGCTGGYACTCTAATGTTTCATTAGGTCCAATCAACTGTCAGTTTAAGGGAGACACAGAAACTTTGTTTGAAGTTGACAAGGAGCAGAGCTTGTTGTGTCCCTGCAAGAGGGAGGCCCTCAAGTGCTTGAATGGGGTTGTAAGAAGAAATTGCTGTGTGGTTCAGGGCCCCCACAGTCATTCTCTTATCTGAAGATATGCCAGTGTCTGAATTTCKGAGCTGTTGGCATAAAGCTTGAGCCTCTTTGTTAGGAAAAACACAGTGTTGTGTAACAATGCTGAGCTATAGTTGTAAGACAGGAGGTGGAGGTAAACTCTTGGGGCTTGAGCTCTGTTTGAACCTAAGGCAGTAAAAAAAAGATGGGGGAAATGCATGTGGATTCCTGTAGAAAGCAGCTTTTTTGAGTGCTGGTCTCCCAGTTGTGAAACCATGAGACAGAGCCAATGGAATCTGTTTCAAAAGGCAGGGATACTGACTGGGAGGCATTGTGGGGAAGGATGCCCAGGGTGAAGAGCTAGAAAAGTTGAGTAGTGGCTGTCTAGCTGAATGCTTGGGGCTGAGTTTTTTTGATGCTGGTTTGCTGTCTCACTTCACAACTCTTTTGTCCTACCAGCTTTGGATGGATGTTCTTGCTGAGATGGTTCCCCTGTGTGTCCAGTGTTTGGAGGGATGATCAGGTACCAGCTTGCGACTGTGCTCCTAAAACAGTGCAAACTGTTCATAGGCCTGCAAAAAAAKCTGTTGCTGCTTTTAGTTGGCACATGAGACACTGTGGTTTAATAGTTTTAGTGGAAATGGCCCAGGGTATAGGCACAGGGGGTATATTATTAATTAAAACTGTTTTTAATTGAAGAATGATTTATGAGTGAGAGTAATAGCCGTCGGAGATTAAAAAGAAACACTGCTGTAAGTGTGGGCTCATGCTGCCGGCATCATGGAGGAGATGTTGAATGCCTTAGCARTTCTTCATCTTCAAAATGCAAGATCCCCAAGTTTCTCTTAGCATGCTTGAGTCATKAATGTGGTTCTGCTAATGTTGGAGATCAACTGGAAGTTGGGCYTCACAGCTGGAATGCTGCTCATTTCATGGGTCTTTAATGTATAAGTGGGTTTGTGTCTGGCAGAGAAGACAGAAGAACTCCCTTTGCTCTCGAGCCACGTCAYACTTTGAGCCCTTTCCTGGGATCGTTCCTGCAGAATTGGCAAGTATTGGATGATTGTTAATGTGAAGCATTATGATAGAGCATAGAGCTTCCTTTACAAGCTTGTGTTATATGTGCACTACAATGTTTTGTTTGTCAGAGTAAAGTATGCCCTTGCCAAAAATTTCAAACCAAAGGTGATTCTGATGATCCRCGTGTTGTAACTTTCTATGGCTGTTTGTGTTAGGTGCAGCCTCCTGTGTTTAAATGTGGAGTGGCTGTAGCTCATCATCTGCAGGTTTAGCCCAATATTCCTGGGTGGATATTGAATCCTGTGTCTAATAGGGATTTCTCTGCTGTCCTTGGTGCTTAGGGGCTTCAAAACAGCTCTGTTTTACTAAGTGAAAACTGGACCTTTGTTTTTATATTTGAATTGTAATGGCTTCTTTCTATATGGCAATGACTGCAAACAGCAGCAAGTTTTTCACTCTTTTTAGTACTTCATCCATCTTTACCTTTCCTTATTAAGTGCTTTCCATGGAAGCAAATATTTCCTGTAGTGTGGTATCTCTTGTGATTAGATTCTAGTTAAGATTATGTTGAACTTTTTAGGGAGAGATTTTTGTAACACTTGGTTGGTATTTTGCTTTCTTGCCCATGTATTTTCAGAATTGTTTGTTCTGTCAGCTCTGATACTTGAGACATGAAAACAGTTATTTCAAAAGAAAAAAGTTTCCAATTTTAAAGACAATTTCTRTATCAGTTATCTATTATCTATTTGTCATGGGCCTTTGGGAGGAGTAACTAACAGCTCCTAAATAGCAGCAAGTTTTTATGTCATCAGATSCTTATTAGGTTCAGAACAGTCCAACTCTGTGGTCAAACGTAGTTTTATTTTAACATATACAGAGCTCGAGAACATGTAAGTGCACTGAGTGAAAGTCACTGGGAGTGAAATCCAGGCTTCTTTCACTTCTCCAGCCCTAAAAGAAAGCTACACTGAGCCTTTTGGTAAGGAAATCTTAGAGACCCCCTCAGGAATATGCGATGGATACAACTCTTCAAGATGCCTGCCCATGCCAGAATGCTGTGTTTGCTTTATGGCAAGCTTATGCAAGGGATTAATTTGGAAGCAGAGCTGAATGGCTTGTGAACTTTATACCTCAGGTCAGCTGTGCTTTAGCTGCATGGTCCAAATTGCTCTTTGATGGGATAAATGATTTTTGTGTGCTTTCTGTGGGTTTTGTTCCAAGAGTGAACAGGTAATTCATCTCAGCAGGTAATTCTGCAGAGCACCAGAACTAATTTGCTACAATTCTRTTCAGTTAAAGATGAAGCAATGCAATAATGTGTCTGATTACATAAGCACAAGTTCAGTTGATCACCTCTGTGTGGATATAATACATGAATTGATTGACCAGTAAGGTAGACAGAGWAATTTATTTTGTGTTGTCTCTTTGAATTCTGCTACGACAGTTTTCTTTCAGCTGAAACTCAGCAGTTTGCTCAGCCTCCTCAGAGAATCCTGACTGACCAGTTAGAGGAATTGGTGTGTTTTTAGAAGCCAGTGTGCTCCAGGTTCTTGTGAAGAGCAGGTCAGGCTTTGCATCATAAGAGAAGTCCACTTGCCTGCAATCTTGGGTTTTGGAGAATTAACAAGGACTAGTCCCAAA